TGCCTTGATCTAGCTTCAGCTTTTTAAGCCTAATGTTAATTAATCAAACACATAACAGTACTTCAATAAAGCTAAATCAGTGCGAAGCTAAACAAAAACCGAACTCAGACTACGTCACTTGTACGTGTATTGTTTAAAACAAGAAAAATATAAAACTGTTACTAGAAGGTGTTTTTTTCAGTGAAAAAAGGCTAAAATACATAGGATATTGGTGAAAGGCTTCTTGTTTATCCTGCAAGGGCGAACCATATATCAGGTTATGTACTACAACAGGTCGTGAGCGCAATATAGAAGTTAAGTAATTGAGTATATCCGTAACGTTGATTCAATCAACGATATTTCAAAACGTTTTGTACCCGTATTTTTCGAAATCGATGCACTGACCATCTAGTTAATAATAACAGTCCTCATAATGATAAAGATATTCTCAACAAGACATTGATGTGAGACGAATGTTGCTTGGCGGAAACGCTTAACACAGTCCTAAGATCGGTTAGGAGCACATTTGATCGAATCCTGATCCTGGCAACAGCGGCATCAGATAAGTAGGTTTAGTTAATATTACCTACAATATATATAAAACACATGTTCGTTTTTTGAATGGAAGGGCGGGGTGAGGTGGGGGTAGGCGTTCCTAGTTGTATTTCGCGGCATTCTGGGCCGGAAGAGGCGAGTATTAGTTCAAGCAACATGACCTAACGACCGATATCGGTCACTAGCTGTGACAGTAGAGCACTCCCCGCGATCGTCGTCTTGGAGCAACATGAAGAGTAGACGAGGGAAGCAAACTGTGAACTGTGAACGACGACGACGCTCATACAATCTTGTTCGCTCGCGGTGTCCCGTACTGCAACATATATATACCTATCAGTATATAGCATTGTGGGTGTGCACTGCCTAGGGCCAAAGATCATAAAACTAGTCGATCTTGCACGGGGAAACAGCGGCTCTCAGCCGTCGACGACCAGTCCCCGGCAAACTATCCTGTGATGAACCCTTTTTTGCTGCCTTCGCTGCCGCTGCTGTCGGCACTCCTTTATGGAATACAGCGTGCAGGAGCGGCAGCAAATAGGAATCCAATATTGGCCGATTGTTTTTGTTGCAACAGCCGACACCTCTCAGGGCCTAGCTAGTGACACTGGTGTTTCTTCTAGGGGTCATAGTGGAGCTGCGGTGCCGTGTCCGTTGCAGCAGAATGGGACGCACTGATGGGTATGAGTTACGCCTCCGAGGGGCGCCTCTGAGCAGATCAGCCCCCGTCCCCGTGACCAATGCGGCTGGTGTGTTAAGCCAAGCTATGGGTCTATGGGACCGTTGGGGGAAAAAGGGAAAACGAGAGTAGGCGGACGACCTCATTATTCACTGGGTAGCAGCAGCAGTCGCCGTACAGGGCGTACAGGGAACAGCGAAATAAAAAAAAAAAAAGGAAAACGACGACGACGGTGGTGCCACCGTCGCAGTAGTCTCGAACGCAGACGGTGAAAGACAGCGTGCATTCAACACGCATTCGACCAGTGTTGCTCATATACAAATATAGACAAAAACAGACGACGCACCATCCTGCTCAACTGTTCTTCGACGTGTCGCGTCTCTGTGATTTGGGCAATACTGCCTTGCGCTTGTGGTCCTTTCAGCTTACCAGGCCCCAAGACCACCCCTAACAATTTATAACGTCTTCCTTCACCGAGCCCCTAGACTCCGTTCGCGGCAGGCGAATAGCAGCCAATGAAATTGTGCCGTCGCAGGCAAGACAGGGCGGCAGCAGCAGCAAGGGCATTACCTGAGTTGCTGGCATCGACAACACCATGCTGGCAAATACAGCACTGCGGGTCTCGGATATTCTAGAGACAATTGATCGCTTGCTGCACCCTACGAATGCCCTGTATTGTGTCTTACCGTACCGCCTTCATTGTCGTCGTATTGGGAAGGCAACCTTCATTTTCATAGACACTTCGACTGTTTCCAGCGCCGTCGCAGCTGCTTCCGTCGCTGCCAAGAACCGAGACACAGATCTGGGACACAGTAAGAATGGTGAGATAGGAGATGGATAAAGGAGTCCTCATTCTCTTGTTTTGTGTTTCACTTTGGGGTTAGGCCTTTTAACGGCCTTAATACGGTGCGGCTCTTGCTGCTGGTGCCACTGTCTTCAGTCGTTATTCGTGCGTAGACAGGCTATTAGATTATGCATTAGGATCAGAGCTGAGATGGTTGATTAGATACACAGATGTATCTCCAACGGTAGTAATCTGCGTAGAGCCACTGTAGTAGGTTAGGCGAGCGCACTCCAATGTATAGTATGTGCAAAGACCTTTTTCCATATTTGCGTAACATATCTTATCTGTAAGTTCTGCCATTTGGTGCGTCTCAGGAACTTTATTAAACAGCGCGGATCCATTTCCAGAGTTGGTATGGAGGCTTCCCTCCATTTAGCAACAGCTTTGCCTGGAGTGACGGAATGAGAAACTGTTCCAGCCATTCATACATCAACATAAATTCTCTTATGAGAGAAGCTATTAATGGAAATTTATATTTGCAAAAAAGTAATAATTTCAGCATGGTGAGGTCACTGATGTTAACAAGCCTAGAAAAAAGCTGCAAACGACTAGGGTCTTTTGTCAGTTCATGTATGAATCAAGTTTGTATATCGATAATTACATGTGAAATATGCAGTGGTTCTTCTTTGAGGATACTCCTATGAGAAATCCTTTGAAGACAACAAAGTAGAACAGTGGCCGTTTTGGGTATGAGTGTTGTCAGACAATAAAATTTAACTGTGCCTTCTTAATCTTTCAGGATATCAAAGCTGAACACCCTTAGCATAATCTCTGTACACGATAACCTCTATTTTAACGAACGTAGGTACAGCTGTCTATACGTGAGACTGAAATTTATCTAACTTGACAGATATCTCGCCACACTGAAAGCGCAATAGGCAATATTTATGAGAAAGCAAAAAAAATCTCAATCGTAATTTTCAAAATGAAGGTTAGGAAGGGAATAGGTTTGCATAGTATATTTCGCATAGTATATTGAATATCACGAGCGTAGATTAGTCTTAACCCAGACCCTGTTTATATAAATATTTGTGTGAAAAACTCGTCTGCGATAAGGATGTAAACAGTGTAGGAAGTTTTCTTTTTTGAACTTCTTTTGAAACTTCTGTTGCTATTGTGGGTATCGTGCACGTCTTATATAGACTCGGTGTGTACAAGTTGTGGTTAAGAACTATATAAATCTACAGCCATCAATACACTGATGTTCTATACAACTGATCACTATTTAACTAGTAGTATTTAATTAGTCTCATTTTTGTACAAAATTACTCTAGGCACGTATGAAATTAATCCTCGAAATTTTTAATTCGACGCCAACACACCTATTTCTGAATCGGCCTATAAATTCAGCTCGTCTTTGGGTCTGTCTGTTGATGTTTATCAATAGCGAACTTAATGGAGATGCTGAAAATGATGATCATCCGCTAGAGATATTAGCGAAGTTTCTAGATGCCGCTTTTAGGCAGTTTTTGAAGCACTTATCGCTTAACTTTCCGGCAACTTCTCTACCGTGACGTCGAACAACCGCTCGCGTGTCTGTTTTTCTTCGTTTTGATGTTCATATCACACAGCCTTTACAGCTATGCCGTCTGGGCGTCTGCTGTACACAGGGCGAAAAGAACAGACCACATTTCATTGCGAATCTATTAGACAGTACAGGACTGGGGAAAGTGGAATAAGGATCTCATGGCGCTATGCGTGCTTCCTTTCATCGTCTCACTTGCATACGCAGACAGAACAAATACAAATTCTCGAACGGGTTCTGCGGCCATCTGCGCAGGGTTTTGCGGCTTCGCCCATCGATAATCTTTTACCTCACTCGTATTATGTAGATATTGAGAAAAAAAAGGTGATTCAGCGAAGGAGAATCAACGTTGTCAGGGGCAACGTACTGTTGTAAAAAACGCACGCGCGCGAGAGAGAGAGAGAGAGAGAGACGCAGCTGCCAGATGTGACAAGTTCAGGAAGAAGGCTCTAGGTTGCAAAATCTTCACTTGAATGCCAGCTTCGACGGCCGCCACTGTTACAAGCCTCACCAACGCAAAGAACCTGCCACCGTCATCATTGTAGAGCTGGAAACTTTGAGAGTCGCTTGATAGTGATGTGTCCCCCCCCTGCTCGCCTACAGGCGACAGTAACATCAACTATGCCAGACGACTACTACAGTCATATCTCCGTTATACTCTTATATATCGCAGCACTAGTAGATTTGAGATCACTACCATCAGAGTACAGCCACTGGGGTTCCTGCTGCTGTTTTTTCCCGTTTCTTGGGTACACAAAGGCATCAAACATGTGAAATTCTCGGAAGACTAAGAAAGAGAAACGGTCAGGAACGTTTTGGAAATGCACAGGAGGCGAGTACACATCGAAGGGTTGAAGGCAAACGAGGTTTGGCCGGGAGCTTGTTTGAAGAGTGCTTGTACTGGGGTGGGCTACCCGTCATGATCGTCATAGCAAAGGTGCATATGCGCATTTTATGCAAGCGACAGGCGGAGTTGACACAACGAGGCGCATCGATACGGACACAATGTATCAACAGCAGTGGCAAAACAGTGCTAGGCCAGTAGTATATCAGAGATATAAGGTGGAAAACGGGATAGATTGAAAAGCGCCGAATCTGTCGAAGAACGGAAAAGGGACTTGAAGAATAAGAAGCACAAGCATCAGAAAGCTGCACAAAAATAATGTGTTCAAAGATAGAAAGAATTCTGGGGTAGATCAGTTGGAAATGTAATAGAAATGGAAAAATGATACTATTGATTTATGGCTGCGTCACAGAACGACAGTAGCCATATAGGAACCAAGAAAAGCCAGCCCTTCAAAAGATGTAAACATATGTTTACTTTCTATTTATGGACAACGATACTAGATACAGGTTTGTTTATGCTGGGGGCATCCCGTATTACTTTCTAAGATATTCTGCTCTCGTCAGTGGCTGGATTAAAACAATAGACTCAGGCCCAGGCCCAGCCGACTTATAAATATTAAACTCAGAACATCTTAGCTTCTCTTCTGAGAATGTAAGGCATTGTTTAGTTTGTAGATGAGTGCTGATGTTGTATATTATGGGATATAGGTGTAGTTTAAAAGTCTCGCAGTCAGGTACAGAGCACTTGATTGATTCGCTTATTGATAATGTGACGGTGATGCGGAAAGTAATTTACTAGAGGGCACAGGGTTAGATGATTAGATCTTCTTTCTCCTGCTATAGCAATGCTTACTCTAATAACAAATACACTTTACGTATATATGATAGATGTGCGTAAGGCAAATTTGTGCCTCGGCGCCAGTCCCGAGTTGTTTTCCCATGTAATCTTTTCCCAGCTATATGTACTTCTGGTAATTGCAGGACGCACGTTCATCCAGATAGGCTATTCAGGCCGAGATGGTAGTTACCCGCAATACCAAGCGATGGCTTGTCAAGTGAGGGAGGGTGACCGCTACGGTCCGTCCGACACAAATTCGCCGGCTAACGATATGCTCTGAGGCCTTGTAGCGATGCCTAGCAGCAATAGGTGAGTCGTACTTTTGTTCTCATTTGACTGCTATGTTTGTCCGTATATCTCTGTCCAAGTACTACAAGAAGACCTCAACGCCGCCCTGTTAATGAATCATCTTTACAGTCTCATATTGTATAGTGCTATATAATTTAGCATACCTTTGTGTTATAGAGTAGCGAATGGTAAAGGTGCAATATGTATTGGCTAAGGCTAGAAACAGTATATTGACGATACAGTTATCACCACCCTATTATATTCACGGTTTGGTTAAAAAAAAGAGGAGGTATTTGTAATACTTGCAAATAAAACAACTGCGACAATGATAGGAACGTATAGACCAATATAATTTGGGTTTTCCAAATTTTACTATACCAATTAAAAAATATGATGAAGTGTGAACGGTCAGTGGATTCTCTGGAGAGCTAGCTTTACGAATACGTTCATGGCTAAGTGTATATTTATATATCTCTATGGAGTACGCCCATGTAGCGGTGATGTCTCCCGTCGAAAATAAAGCAGCGCGTGACAAGCGCCTGAATCTTCAAAAAAGCGTCATAGACCCTATTGAAATAAACACATAGACTGCGGAAAGTTTTTTCCGTTCCATCTTCTGTTGTAGCTTGAGTAGAGTATACGTCCATATTAAATGCTTTCAACTAATCTCAACCCGCTTTATCAGTTGCTTAGAGCATACTCAACCCATCGTTCCCTATGCAACCAGACGTGCATGGTCGTCACCGCTAATCAAAATGGTAAGTTAAACTGGTAACATCAGCGTCATTGACGCTGACTAGCCGGCTAAAAAGCCAACCTATCGAAATCGTACCATTTAAAACTAGGGCTAATTAGCCTAATACTACGTTTGTCGTCGAGGAGAGACACATGCGATTCCACTACATGCATTACGCCACGACCGCTGGCCGTACCAATTCGTAGTCATAGTCAGGGCATATTGTTCTGTGGCTCTGGCTTTCTATTCACTAGTCGGGTTCATGATGCCGAGAAACCCCGACGCGACGGTTTGTGGCGGCTTAATGAAGCATCGAAATAGTGACTCGAGGCAAGCAATAGCTGGCGAGCTGTGCGGCAGTTCCCGTCTCATGGCCGCCATGAGGTTCGCAACGGCTGCAATGACGGTGAAACAAAGGAGACGGAAAGCAAAATAGAGAGAGTGACAGAGGCCAGTTTCCACAAGTTTTTCCACTAGTGTCTACCGACGGAGCAGTACTAGCAGCAGCAGCAGCAGTAACAGGCAGCTGTGAGATTCCCTGCCTCTATTTTTCACCCGCATTGCTAGCTAGGCCAACATCGCTCTTTAATTGCTGACTAGCTGCCGTCTGCTTTTGTTTAACTCTGCGATTTGTGCGTCCAACGCTCTGCCGGAAGAAAAGCTATGAGGGAAACCGCCGAGGCCAGCCAGTCCAACAGCAAGCAGTTTCTAGACTTGACCGGCTTTATCCGGTCGGGTTAGGGCCCTATCTCAAACGCCATTTATATTATAGCCTAAGATGACACATTACAAGCATTGCAAACGCACCCCATACATTGAGCCTTATCTAAAACTGTCGCCTGCTAATATAGCCCGCCTAGCTGCCACTCCCCGTAAGTGGTCTCGCCCTGACATTACCGTTAGGTCGGCTAAGCGGAGCACTGAAGTCAGGCAAGGCAGAGCTCATTGGCTCATTGTGCTCCGTTAAATCTAAGATGCTGTCACTCGTTACCTCTGTGGTCACGCTTTTCGCTAGCCCCATCCCCTTTTTGCGCCTCTGTCCCTATTTAGCTCATATGAGACGTTTTCCCAGCTTCCCATCTCCACACTCTCTCACACCTACCCTCCATTTTTCTCCCCCTCCCTATTTGCCTACCACTGACCGTTGCCTGCGCTCCGATTACACCAACTAACCATAGGACTGTCCCATAGATCTAGACCATAGAACTAGATTTTAACGAACTTCCTGCACTGCTCGGAATTACATGCATGGCTGTTAGCACTGCGGATTCTACGATGTCCGGTCCGCTCGAAGGTAGTCCCTTTTCATGCCAGCACAGGAACGCTCTGTTTTTGAAGGGTAGAGAAAAATGGTTGAAAAAGGCTTGATGAAGGAAACAAAGATTGTTGACGATGATACAGATCTTCCTACAGATCAATTCATCTCACAGCCTATGGTCGTCGCTAAATTCGGCTACAAAAGAACTCTAAGTAAGCTTTGTCACAGTATTCATCTACATCATGGTCGATATACTTAAGCTTCAAGACAGTGGGCCTTCACTGGTCATTTGTTGGCGACCGCCTCTGTGCGCACTGACAGATATAAAGTAGGACCAAGGAAGTAACCGAGTGATAGATGAGGCCCCTGGCGACGAGGTCTGCCCTTTGTTGAGGTCAGTGACGAAGAAAGGAGCGGACAAGAACAAGACGAACGAACGAACATATCGCCGTTATTAAGATATTATACTAGATAGGTGTCACGCTGGGCATGGATGACGGCTATTGTACTAGCTAAGCTTTGATAATCTCTATCGATAGATGCACGTTTTTCGGCAATGAAAAAAGCTCAGTTGACAATTCTAAGCGTAGATCTATTTCATAGTGCAACATGCTTTAGGTTCCCTAACATCCCCAACTAATAGTTCTGAACAGTATGTGCCTTTTTCAATATTAACATTTTTCAGAGTACAATAATAACAAAATATGTGATCTCAGGATGATCGAAGACAATTCGATCGATCGTATGACCCTATACATACGCAATATTCTGGGAAACTTACACCTATGCAGAAAAGCGCAAAAAATTGTCGAAATAATGGTAATGACAACTAAGTTGTATATTCTTGCAATAGCGACTATAATACAATTACATATATCTATCATATATATATATATATATATATGTATATATCAGACATTTAGGAAGTTAGTAATGGTCATGGTGGGGCTTTGTGGTTTATCTTTTGCCTCCTTGTTCAGCCAGTCACCCGACAGATTGGGGTCGTTGTACGACGATGGTCGCTATTGTTGCTGCTGCTGATCGTTTATAGATGTGGCAGACGCTCTGACATCACCCTCTACAGCCCTAGGTTCCCATCGTTGGATTCTAGCCATAATTATGTTCTCGCAACTGTCTGTTCTTTCCGCCCAACAATTTACTGATCCGAATCGGGTCATACATCTCTGACGTCAGACCTTATGCCTTCTTCTTCTCTGGTTGTTCGTGGGTTTCTATCCACTACCATGAAGTAACATTGCGCACGGCAGTAAAAGTAGTGGTAGAATGGGAAATTATTTATTACCGTGGCGGCCTTAACGATTGTCTCTCTCTCTCTGCGCCGGTTTAGAAACCGAACTAAGTAACTTAGATAAACTAAACTGTTGGTAGACTGCAGACTTCGAGCTGCACCTACGCCCTATTGCTACCCTGATCTGCAACGGCGCGCAGGATCAGTGGTTCATACACAGTATTGTGAAAAATCTACATCTAATATTAACACTAATAGTCCTATAGCGCCGATTTCATTCTATACGCATTTCCTATAGATTGAAACCTTCTGACCACACTGCAGAATCACGTTTACCTGCAACAGGTACTTTTCCTGTGTTTCTAAAATGACTGTAGAGACAACGCTGACCTAGTCTGAAAGTTTAAGAAATCTGTCCTATGAAACAGATACTTGTTATTTTTTATTCAAAATTTTTATACACGTATTTTTTTTCACCAAAATAGATCCGACTACAGTAATACTATCTGTTTATATCTGGCACGCCATATCCACTGCGTACGTTCAGACTTGTGTTATTAATGTACCGCAAAGTTACGTTGCTCAAATACATGGACCAGGTAAGCCAGATGGAATTAAGGGAACAGCATTTGCTACAAACAGATTCTATAGGGTACAGAAGAATCAAAATGTTATACGTATTAACGATGTCTTTGCTTGAGACACGTGTGCCCACCTAAAAAAGTGAGCAAAAAACAGCCAAGAAAATAAGTTGAATTATCTATTTATTCGAAATCGCATTGAGCATGAACCACGTGACAGAAGCCCCTCTCTTCTCTACCTCGGCATCCGACTACTATGACTACTCCGAGCTGCCTCGCCATGTTTATCTTGTCCTATTCCGAACAGGTCCCCTGCTGCTCATCCAGCAGGATCTTGGTCCTACTTAACATCGTAATCAGGGCAAACCGATAGACCAGATTATGGCATAAGGTTTCTCCAACTGCGAGACGCTTCATTGATCGCCTAGTAATGTTGTGTTAGATCTGCTAAGTTCGTACCCGTCGAAAAAGAGCAGACTGAGAGCGTAGTGAGTTGCTCCTCGATTTCATAAGCACCGGGAAATGTAGCAGTCAATGGGCCTCGAATAGCTATGAAGTAGCCTACTTACATCTATTTCCTGTCGAGTGTCCTGCAACCAAGGCAATGAGCGATGCCTATAAAAACGTAGGCATAACCATCATTCTGTAGCAGTAGTTAGTCATACACTGTCATAAGCCTTATTAAGGAACATTACAAAAGCTAAAGTTAGTTAGGCTGATTTTCCTGATGATAGGAAATTCTCGTAAAAAAAAATTTAATATATTCGTATAGAATATATGCGTAAAAAAGTTATGCTCAACACACGAAATATAATGCAACCACAATGTAGCTATAAGTAAGACCAAACCAACCTCTTGAGCGGGGTATTCAGGCATTTGTTGATTAAGCGTTTAGTAGTACCAGTGCCTGTTGTTTAGAGCGTGCTATATATGTGTGTACGTATTGCTCTCCGGTAACTTGTTGATGTCATAAAAGCGCCTCTATATTACATCGGAGCAATAAGCTGGATGAAGACATCTTTACGGATTCTAGGATCGATTTTACTATAGAGAAGGTATTGTACTCCCCGTCTGTATCCAAACAGAATTAAAGAGCAGCTGATTTTTCTTCTTTACCATTTAAAAAAGGCTTCTTCAACTGTTTAATAACAACAAATGTTCTTTTTTCTATACAAAGGATATCGCTAGTGTCAAAATGCAGCAAGATCACAGGGATGTGGAAAGCTTTGGTCTGCCTAATATCATTTTGCCTCCGGAACTCAGTCTTCCTCTAGCCGGATATGATAAAGCTGGTTAGAGATCAGAACTAACTCGTTAAAGAGAAGGACGTTGTTGGATTCTAAGCCCGGAGGGAAGCGCCACAGGAGGTTCTTCGATAGCGGCGATGTAAGTACGAAAAGCTCCAATTTTGTTGTCTGATTCTGCTTCGGGCCACCCGCCTCGTGGCCGATAGTGACCCGTCAGATCGTCTTTCTTACTTTAATTCTCCGCTCTATTTCGCCTTGATTCCGGCACAATGCAATCCGGCAAAGCCTAGAGGACACAGCCTTTAGCTGCATTGATATATTGGAAAAGGTTAGAAGCAATTTCGCTAATAAGAGTCTAGAGGACTCTTACGTTTAGCCATAGTGTGTCTGAATGTCATTTTTGCAGTGGACAATAATACAATATAGTAGGCTCATCCACACGCATTAACTTGTGTCATAGATAATATCATATAACGTAAGTTTTACTGAGAAGACGTATAGCAAAGTTATTGTGTGCCCTTACACAGTTCGTTTGAGTGAGTCTTTGCAAGAAAATTCGTATTGATTTCATTCACGAGTTTGCTCGCATCTACACTACAGTTAATCGCTCAGTTATAGGATAACAGGTACGCTTTTGAATGTGCTTTAAGGAAATCCAATATTTGTACGTTTAATAAGGCTTTAGGAACGGGCAAGCCTTAAGACATGTCGTGCGGCCTGGCTGAATCATTGAAGATCATTCTTCAAAGCCTCTATAAACGAGTATTTGTGTACAACTATTTGTTCTATTTTGTTTGAAAGATTTGAGAGGAAACCAACGCTAAATAGCTTGCGGCAGTCAATTAGAAACAGGTTGATGTTCTGACCAGAAATGTCCATAGGTATAACTGGAAGCTAAAGTAAATTTGGTGTTCAAGGAATCGTTACTAGAAGTTATCTACCAACAAATCAATGGCTTCTAGGGAGGTCATTGCTACATCAAAGATTAAGCACATCCACGGCGATGCTGTAACTGAAGAAAATGAACCAATGGATCCTCGAAATACGCATTTTATTGTCACGGGAAAACGAATCCTACCTAGCTAAATCAATCGATTAAACATATCCCTGTCAAAAGGTAGAAATATTGGTAGAACAATCTATAATTAATGCCCAATGACAACTACCTCAATGAACGTGATATAGGCTATGAAATCGTATTGGTTTTATGTTCCGCTGTCGCTGCTTAATATCATTTGTTACACCGTATGTTCGTAGTAGACGCCTTACGAATTGGGATTGCATTTTTCTCGTTGGGTCTCTTTTACTAAATGAGTTGAACCGTGGATTCCCTTAATTAAGCGATCGAATGTTCCCTCGACAAACCATGTTGTTCCTTGTATTGCAATCGGTACTTGACCGGTGATTTGGAAGATGGTCGACAACGAATTTCTTGAAGACTGCGATGTCTCCCTGAAGTGTCCAACTGTTGTTTCTCCCTTCATTTCCTTTTTCAAAACGAGGTTAATTATGGACATTTCGAATGTAGCTGGATCCGTACTCTCTAGATAGAGGGCAAATATGGGCCGTAGCGATGTAACTCAGAGCAGCGTTGAAGGCTTATTGAACTAAGATCATATACTATCGGCCGTAACATTGAATAAAATGTTTTTAGGCTTCTGAACTTTACTGTATAACCAACATGGTAGACTGAGTCGGAACTCTTGAAACGAAGGGAAGACCTAGAAGTCTTTTTTATGTTATTTTTTTTTATGTTACAGATGGATCACAAGAACCGATAAAAGTATCCAAATGCCGTTCTTACACCCTCTACAAGTACTTTATCATAGCCTATTAAAACGAGTACGTCCCGTTTTTCTTTGAAGCTTTTGTTAGCGTCGCGGAAGAACGGTTGGATATTCCTAAATGAAAGTTCAGATTTTGCCAGAATTTGCCAGATGAAGCCTTTTATCAAGGCTTTCGTTGGATCGATCATCGGAAAGAGGAGCTGGAGGCGCACGAGCGTGGGCGTTCAAAGCCATGTTATTACCACCTTTGCAACGCACGTACATGCCCGAAAAAATATACTTTACGTTACGTGTATGTCGAAGCCTTGTATAAAGTACAGCAGCTTACTACCGCTGGAGTAACACAAATAGGAATCGGAACTTTAAAAGAATATCTTATCCATCCAAGGAAGTTGTAAGAGGCCCAAACACTGAACTTGCATCTTAAAATTTGGCAAGTAAAAAAAAAAAAGAAGAAAAGATGCCTCCCAAGTAGAAACCAAAAAACAGAAAAGCAAAAAACATTTGAAAACAATCTCGTGTTTCACAGTTTGAACTGAGATAAAATAGGCGGCTTTGCCATGCGATCAGAATACACGCTGTGCATCCATAGCTTTCCGGTTACTTACAAACTCGCGAATCGCCGTAAGGACTAGATGTGCTTAGTGGTCCGATAGATTGAATAAAAAAGCTGAAAAGGTCCATTGTTTATACACAAACTTGCCGCTTTGGAACTATTCAAGGAAAATCGAACTTCTGGCGGTATGAAGTCGCCTGTAATAAATCCGGGCATCTCTGTATATGGTAAGGTATCAAACGTACTGCAGCAGCTGAGGATCCTGGTCGTTCGAAATATGCCACAGCCGTAATTAGGCATGTGATATAAGTAAATTTAGGGGAGCGCTACGAATAGATTCTCCAATTTTTAGGAAAAGACCGAGTAACATGAAGTCTTACAACCCAGCGATTTACGTGCATCGAATTCAAGGATGTGCGCAACCCCTTCTTGCACCATACTTCTGAAACTGATGCTATCGGATGCTTTTTATTGACAGAAATGATGTTGGTTCCATGGCACCTTGCAGTTTTTCTTACTTGAAGTAGACTGAAACCTGCGTTGTTTACGATGAAGATACACTCCCGAATATCGCTTCAATCCCTATTGTAGCCGGAACAGAGTAGATTTCGTTTTGGTTGTACAATACATTTAGAGTGGCCTTATGACCTCCCACTTGCAGGGCAGAGACCGATGTGTAGTATAATTTCAATATTTATATCAACTGCCAAGTACCGACAGATATGTATTGTTTAACTCTATTGCTTTCGTCATTCGTAAGCAACGTTTGCCAACAGCATAAGTAGCTTTTGTGAAGATACAATCGAAGAAAACCTTACGACGTTTGAATCTTCACAGATTATAACAGTTTGACCGACGTCACAGAGGCACTAGCAATCGCCAAAGGCCAATGCTCTCTATACAGTCACTGAAGAATGAAAAAATTTGATTTATTGATATTTATTGGAAGATCATTGTTTCAGGTCCGATAGAACAATTTTTTTTTGTGTTGTATGAACTATACACTGAACTAATGTAGCAATATGTATCGTCTTTAGTAATATTTTTCTTAAATGTTTCTAGCCAGTAACGAGAATGTGAACCGATTTATTGAGAAGGAGGCTTTTTAACGGTACAAATGGGTAACGGTACATTTGGCTATGGGGCTTATATAGAAATACAGTATCACTCACTGTATTTGATAGCACAAGTATTTGTATTGCTTTACCTTCAAGTAAATCACTTTGTAGTTTCGTTCAAAGCTTGCTACCTTCATGCCGTAATGAACATCTCATACAATAGCTAGGTTCGCCCTCAAATGATCTTTTATGACACTGGCCGTCCGAATGATATCGTCTCGTTATGGTAAAACCCTGATATTTTGCCATCCCAATGTGGACAATAAGATAAGAAACACTACTTCATACCCTAACTGGTTTCGCGGAAAGCAGATAAACGTAAGAGTCATAAAGACTGCTTTAGAAGGTCAGGGTCTGGTCGAAGTTTGAAGTCCTCAAAAGCAGATGTCTTCAATTTGTGATAAAGATCGGAAATCAATACTCGATTGGTCGTTGTTTCATCTCTTTCTCCCTATACTGTCGTCTCTCGATTTTTTCTCACAAAGACTAACGCGAGCGCCCTAGAAAATATGAACTATTATATATCGGTTGTAGGAGGACGCAGCTCTAGATGGACAGCAACGAGTAGATAATAAAACGTATCGTTTCTCAATCAGACAAGGGAATAGGTCTGTGTCACGTGATCAGCGTGAGTAGAATGGATTGGTGCGACCACTTTCTCATCGAAACTCTAGCTCAGTGTATGTTCGTCACGAAGCGATGCGCATTGTTCATTGTGACCGAATGAATACTATAACACTGCTTGAAAGTAGTAGTTCAACTTATCCGCCTATCTGTGTACAGTTCATCAAAGATCTAGGGGTTATCTAGGGGTTAGGCAGGCGAGACCTTCTCTTTGTTGGTGCCATTCGTCTTCTTCGAAGGTTGAGACCTATTATTAGTGCTAGGGGTGATACAAAATAGTGTGGAAATTGTTTCTTTTCCTTAATCTAGAAGCCTGTATTAGTGGGAATCTTCTAATCACACAAGGTAGATAGATGGAATCGTGTTTTGCGAAACGAATGAGTACGATCGATGTGCCAAGTGTGATTGAAACTTTTGTCGTACACTGATGACGATAAAGATCTGCACACAGATGGTCCTCGATTACGCAGAGGTTATATCCTTTGTGTGAAACAAAAGGGTCTTTTAGTTGGGAGAAGATCCATAGCCAACAAATGTTGGCCATGGATCTTCTCCCAACTAAAAGAGCATCTGCCTACTCATTTTAAAGAAGAATCATTTGACGCGATTCTGGCCGACCTCTTCGACCTGGTGTCTGGGCCGAGGCTGCTTGTAGGATAAATACCCTTTTTTTTTAAGGACAGAATATTAATCTATTCCCAATTGCGCGCTTCAGATGTGTGCGCAGCCTTGGGAATAGCTGAAGATATACTATGGTGTTGCTCTTGCTATTGAACAGCTGCTTTTTTTCTGGCAGCTCCCATAGACGAATGCATAACGAGTATGTATACGGCAGCGGCTACTAAGAATCATGTGCATAAGGGCTGCAGAAATGTATGAGATAAACTATTGACAAGTAATTGTGACTGTTCTTATATATATATATATATATATATAACTTGCATACTTAGTTCCTATTTTCTTTTGATTAGTATTAAAAGTCTGTTAGTTCCAGCTTAATGCACCATACGATTTCATTGTATTGAAATATTTCCTAAAAATTTTTCCCGGCTAGATGTCTCCATGAATTTCTTTAAAAACGGCCATATATTTATAGTATTCTGATTTCGATCGACTCGTATTTTAGATGTAAAAAAAACTTAGGTCGTGCACATCCTAAGTTTTTATAAACGAGTAATGCACAGATGGAGGCAACCAGCAACGGACTACCTTTTCTAGTACTATCATGTCCCTTCTTATTCCTCCATTCTTTGCGTTCACAGTCGCTGACCGCATTGTGTCTTTACCGGATTTAGAATAGCAGTAGTATGGCTTGTGCTTATACCCCACTACTAGTACTTTTTTCATTGCATTCCCCGCCACTACTCTTCGTAACCCACCGCCACGATCCCTCATGCTAGCCCTTCTCTGGTCTCTGCTGATGGAGGCTGGCACGCAAGGTTTACGTTAGCGCTGCGCACACGCGTCTTTGGTGGATGGGAACCGGTTCTTGCGCGCTCTCGACCTGGGCACTGGCGAACGGGGCCCCCAAGCTTCCAATGAAGAACACCTGATCCGGAGACATGGTCAGTACACGCTAGCCGATGCTCCTTTCTGATCCGCATACGTCGATGGGAAAGCGCCAATAGGTTGCGTCCAGCTCGATCTACTATCACTACGTCTAACAGTGTCTATTTCTACCATCTATTTCTTTTTTTTTTCATTCTTGTTCCTGCTTTTTCCTGCTACTGTCGTTATTGTCGTCATCGCCAAGTATATATATAAGCGTACCGCGTACCTGCTAGCTGCAGCCGTTTGTTGCAGCATAGGCCGCCATTGCCAAAAGGGGTCATCCTTGCTATTTTTCTGCGGTGGAAGCGTTAAAAAGAATCGGTCCATCGGATCGCATAGAGGAATGCACCAAGGAGGTGGCAAAACAGGCTTAGTGGGTGAACAGTTGCTACTGCGGGGACGCCGTTGGTAGGATGCCCAGGAGAAACTTGGTTGGTGTTGATCCGCGTGTGATAGCCTACGGCAGGACATATGAAGAAGAGAGTAGTAGGCAGCACAACGACAATATCACCCGACTCGATTTACCGCTACCACAAAGTTATCTAGCGAGATGTCCTGCCTTTAGCAACCACTTGGTTAACTTGTCCGGCTGAACAGATATTGTACATTTACTGTCCGCACATGTATAAATCCAATTAAACTGAGGATGCACAACCGGAGTAATGGGTGCAGAGATAGCGGACGTGCAATTATGCTTAAAGCGTGAATACCCGAATAGAAACGACAAAATTCAGTCCTTGTAGGTACCAAAAGAGGATGAGGTGGGCCTAGCGGAGTACTAGGAATGGAACCTGTGGATTAAAAACAGGTTGCCTCTTAGCTATATAATCCCGTGTCACTGCAGGCCCATGGCTCACTCGATGATACGCTTCAGCATACATTTATAATGCGTAGTGCTTATAGGTCCTAGTAGGCAATATGGTTTAAATTGACCTTATCTCAGGTAGTGGGCCATCATTCGATTGCTTTAACTGCGAATTAAAAAGAAAGCTCGTTTATTTGGTGGCTGGTCAAAGTGACACGATGTGTGGTTGGCTTCTAACTTCAACTCTGACACAAATGACCACAGAAAGACACACGACGACGATGGCGAAGGGCGGCAGCGATTGCAGGAAAATGAGAGGCAAAAATAAAAACGGTAGAACCAGCCACAGCGCCAAGATCAACACTTTCAAGTGCTGAGAGCGAAAGTAATAGCTGTGTGCGTGGCATCGCTGGCTTTGGTGGTATCATCCGTCTTCGTACGCGAATCAAGTGACAAAGATGTCTTAGTCTCTTGCTCTTTATCCAACCACTCTCCTTCCAGTCGTTCGCGCTTTTTGGGCCACGCCAGGCCAACTCTATTTTTCTTTTCTCTTTTTGTTACTGCCCCTCAAAGGGTGTTCAGAGATGCGACAAAACAACATCTCACCCCTATCCAGGATTGTGGAACCAGTCGGCAGGCAGATCTTCCTCTATGGAATTTTCGAAGCTGTGGTGCTATACAACAGGCACCGTGGCAGTGGTCAATAAATTCAAGGTCTTTTGTCCGTGCCATTCAGTAATACCCGAGCGGTCGTGAACTGGTGTCCGTCTACTAACAGTAAAAATTGGAAAATCTATTTAAAACCTAGGATGCTGTCTTAAAATGGCAGGGAAGTTAAAGGTAAACAACAGTAAAATAACTTCAAAGGACTTACAATAGGTGCATAACTTCACTAGTAGCTTTGGCTATGTCCTAAGGGCATGCAACAGTTTAATAATCAGCACCAAGTACAAAAGTTCATTGAGATAAAGATGCATTCCTTTTAGTATCAGATTATCCAGAAGTAGAATTAAGGGGTACGTCGAACAC